TCCCCAGCACCCTTTTTTCTCCTCAGTCTGTAGCTCTCTTAGAGTTTTCTCAGGATCATGAGGGGTCAGAAACATGTTTGGTTTTTCTTTTGCCAGAAAGATTGCTGATGCTCTTACTGATTTATTTGATTATATTTATATAGCCTCGTGTTTCATATATGACTCCAGATGGTGCATATACAATTAAAAGAAACAACACTATCAAAACAAAAAGTCAAAATGGTTAAAATATAAAAGTTAAACATCTACACATAGAACAAAAATACCATGGGACAGTGCATTTCAAACCTATGAATCTTGTAACTATTTTGCAGGCTCTATAATTCCATGGGATCCCCAGGTCCCATGACAAAACCAAGTTTTAAGGACCTTCTGGTAGGGTCAATGTGATGGTGGGGTAAAATATTCTAAGGGTGGGTGCCATGGCAGAAAATCTCTCCTCCTGGGTCCTGTCAAATGAAGCTCTTTAGTTTACAGTATCCACAACATGCCCCTCCTGCCACACCTAAGGAGATGGATGGGTGGAAGTAACCAGGAAGAGATGGTCCCACAAATAACCTGGTACCCTAATATGTAGGGCTTTAAATGTCATAACCAACACATTGAATTGAACCTTGAAAATTTATATCTGGCCTTTCACCATTTAGATAAATTTAAACAATTTTAAAAATCAGTAACATTTTTTTTTAAAAAAAGTTGACATGCCACATGGCAAATTGTAATGTGGCTGCTGAATTTCAGTATAGCATGTTTTATGAATTGAAACTTTATGGCTGGTAAGCCATGGCTTGCAATTCAATATGGCACATAAAGCCCCCAGCTATGACTTACTCAACAAACTATGTCTATGCTAATTATGGTCATCAAGGGACCTACATATATATTTGAAGGCCAAGTTTGTACCCAACTCTAAGCTTTGAAATGCTCTACAGACCTAACCCTCAGTAGATTATAGAATACACTATGGTTAGGCAAACCTTGACTTGATCTATGATTTCTAAATAAAGTCAAATACTGACCAAAATGTTATAGGTTAAACTAATTTTGCCAGATTTGGTACAGAAAGGCTTTGCTTGAGGGATGCAGATCATTAATGAGAAGAGCTCCGGTTAATTAAAGGACCACTTCTAAACCAGTACAGCCAGCCCAGACAAGATGGTTAGGAACTGGTAGAAACCAGGACCTCCTGCTACCTGATTCTGTCTTGAAGGACAGGAATATGGTCTCTGAAACATTCCTATAAAACGTACAGTGGTAATTTACTTTACAACCAAGTGATTTTATGTACAGTATTATATGCATGAACATGCTTGTTGTAATACTGTAGGACCCTTGTTAATTTTCCATCTTCTAGAAAAGCTGGCTCTTTATGCTGCCTGTTTAAGGAAGGGAAAGGTAAGAAAATACCTGAAATTCCCTGTGTACTAGAAAATAAGCTTTAGGAACTCCACACAATGTGTTTTAGACATTATATTTCTTTTCTTATAACTCTAATAATCAAACTTCATCTCAGTGATAACAGAACCATTTAACACAAGCAGCAGAGGCATAATCCAATACCCAATTCTTAAAGAGTGAACAGATGCAACACACATTTCATAAAACCATCTATTTTATAGAGCTGTAGGGTAATGAATTACATGCAAATAAGATATGGATAAACATGTTCTGAAATAGAAAATCCAGAAAAATTTTAAAGTGTGAAACATCCAAACTGTAATTCTGTGTGGTTTGAAAGCCTTTGGGGAACAATTGGTTTTGAACTCTGGGAAGAATCATCTCTCACTTTTCTGACTGCTTGTGGACAGATGCTTGTAGGCCATAACTGAGTGGTCAGGAGAATTTCAAATCATCTGGATTTCCACATAATTATTAAACCACAGCAGAAAGTTGATTGTTGCTTGATGTCATGTGTCAGCTCAACTATTGCACTCTGTAAACAATAGTTATTAAGTAATGTGTAAACCCAGCATATTCTGACATTCAAAATGATGAAAACATAGTTTATCATGATGCATGAACTAAGAAGTTATATATCAGCCTAACTTATCTCACAAGACATTTGTGAAGATGACAGTGTGAGAGAAAAATGGACATTTCTGTTATAAATGACAGTAATTTTCCATAGGTGGCATTAAACTAGATAGTTGGACTTCCCCACCACCATAAAACCTGTAAATCTTAAATCTAAGATGCACAGCAGCTCTTCCCACCTTACAGGGTTGTTGTTTTGGGAAAATAGGGAATACAAATACCCCTTGATTTGCCACAGTTCATTTAGTGATTATTCAAAGTTACAACGGCACCAAAATAAGTGACTTATGATCACTTTTCACATTTACAACTGTTGCAGTATCCCCATGGTCACATAATCAGAATTCAGATGCTTGATAATTGCTCGTATTTATGATATTTGCAATGCCTCGGGATCATTTGATCACGTTTTGTGACTTTCTAAGGAGCAAAGTCAATGGGGAAGCCAGATTCACTTAACTGTGTCACTAGCAACTGCAGTGATTGACTTAACTGTGGCAAGAAAGGTCATAAAATGGGATAAAGTTCACTTAGGAAATGTTGGGTTCAATTGTAGTTGTAAGTTGTATTAGTTATGTATAATAGGTACCTCCTCAGTGGAAGGGGAAGGTACCAGAGTTCCATGCATCTTTGGCATATGACCATGGACCAGAGGTGGTATTTAGCAGGTTCTGACCAGTTCTGGAGAACCGGTAGCGGAAATTTTGAGTAGTTCAGAAAACTGGCGAATACTACCTCTGGCTGGAGATTTTACAGTATCCTTCCCCTGCCACGCCCACCAAGCCACGCCCACAGAACCGGTAGTAAAATAAAATTGAATTCCACCACTGCCATGGACCACATTTGGCTACATGACCACGCAAGTGTCTTCAGACAATGCTGGCTCCCTTGGCTAAGAAATGGAGATGAGCACTGCGCCCTAGTGTCGGACACAACTGGACAGAAAAGCCTTCATCTTTTTTATAATAAAGGCAGGATAACGATTTAATAAACATTGCCAATCTTGAAGGGAATGATTCAGTTTGAAAAAGAAATTCAATCTTTTGTTGGTACCATCTCTCCTCGTGATGCAAGAAGGATAAATTAAAACAGGGAATGGTCATAGTGACTATATTTTCTCAGAATAGTGTGTAAAACAGAAACCAAGTCATTTGTAGCAATCAGCTATAACTTTACAAAACAAAAACTCCTTAAAGAATTTGCAGGGTGGATTTTCAGAATATTGAGCTATGGATTTGGTGTGAAATACGTTATTGGACCAAGGTTTAGTTTTATATTCCAAAGAAAGTATCTGTAGCTCAGGGTTGTGGAGTTCTTGATGCTGAGTTTGGTTTGTGTCCAATGATGTTACCTATCTGAGTTATGAAACATCTGCAAGCAAACAACCAAGTCAAAGAGCACCGAAAGAGACATACAGTATCACAGAAGTGAGCACACCCCTTCACATTTTGTAAATATTTAAGTATATCTTTTCATGCGACAACCCTGAAGAAATGACACTTGGCTACAATGTAAAGTAGTAAGTATACAGCTTGTATAACAGTGTAAATGTGCTGTCCCCTCAAACTAACACAACACACAGCCATTAATGTCTAAACTGCAGGTAACAAATTGAGTACACCCCTAAGTGATGTCCAAATTGGGCCCAAGTAGCCATTTTCCCTCCCTGGTGTCATGTGACTTATTAGTGTTACAAGGTCTCAGGTGTGAAGGGGGAGCAGATGTGTTAAATTTGGTGTTATCGCTCTCACTCTCATACTGGTCACTAGAAGTTCAACATGGCACCTCACAGCAATGAACTCTCTGAGGATCTAAAAAAAATGAATTGTTGCTCTACATAAAGATGTCCTGGGCTATAAGAAGATTGCCAAGACCCTGAAACTGAGCTGCAGGATGGTGGCCAAGACCATACAGTGGTTTAACAGCTCCACTCAGAATAGGCCTTGCCATGTTCGACCAAAGAAGTTGAGTGTCCATGCTCAACGTCATATCCAGAGGTTGGCTTTGGGAAATAGATGTATGAGTGCTGCAGAGGTTGAAGGGGTGGGGGAGTCAGCCTGTCAGTGCTCAGACCATACGCTGCACGCTGCATCAAATTGGTCTGCAGGGCTGTAGTCCCAGAAGGAAGTCTCTTCTAAAGATGATGCACAAGAAAGCCCACAAATGGTTTGTTGCAGGCAAGCAGACTAAGGACATGGATTTCTGGAACCATGTCCTGTGGTCCACTGAGACCAAGATAAATTTATTTGGTTCAGATGGTGTCAAGGGTGTGTGGCAACAACTAGGTGAGGAGTACAAAGACAAGTGTGTCTTGCCGACAGTCAAGCATGATGGTGGGAATGTCATGGTCCGGGGCTGCATGAATGCTGCCAGCACTGGGGAGCTACAGTTCATTGAGGGAACCATGAATGCCAACATGTACTGTGACATACTGAAGCAGAGCATGATCTCCTCCTTCGGAGACTGGGCCAGAGCAGTATTCCAACATGATAACAACTCCAAACATACCTCCAAAATGACCACTGCCTTGCTAAAAAATGCTGAGGGTAAAGAACTGGCCAAGCATGTCTCCAGACCTAAACCTTATTTAGCATCTGTGGGGCATCCTGAAATGGAAGGTGGAAGTGTGCAAGGTCTCTAACACCCACCAACTACGTGACATCGTCATAGAGGGGTGGAAGAGGATTCCAGTGGCAACCTGTGAAGCTCTGGTGAACTCTGAGCCCAAGAGGGTCAAGGCAGTGCTGGAAAATAATGGTGGCCACACAGAATAATGACATTTGGGGCCCAATTTGGACATTATCACTTTGGGATGTACTCACCTTTGTTGCCAAGGGTTTAGACATTAATGGCTGTGTGTTGCGTTAGTTTGAGGGGACAGCAAATTTAAACTGCTATACAACTATAGACTCACCACTTTATATTGTAGCCAAGTGTCATTTCTTCGGTGTTGTCACATGAAAAGATATACTTAAATATTTACAAAATGTGAGGGGGTGTACTCACTTCTGTGAGATCCTGTATCTATTTATGTCTTGTTCCTGCCCACTTGGAGCTAAAAATCCAATTTAACTCAAAGGATTATTGCTGCAGGGAGAACTTGGTGGGTTAAAATTAGTAAGAACAGCAGAAGCAAGAGATGTGATATTAAGCAAGAAACCCTTGAAAATGTAAAAAAAATATTTTCTGGAAGATTATTCTTGCAGCTGAAAGGATTACAGAGATAAATTCAGTATTTACTAGTATAAAGAATCTTATCTCTATTGCAAGCAGTGCTAAAAAAATTATCACTGTCTTCAATTTTTGAGGGCATAGAAATGAACCTATGTGTTAGCATGGAAATCAGAAGAAATGCCTTAAGTTTGAACAGACAAGTGAAAACCAAAGTCAAGCTGACCTCTGGTGGAGAACAGAAAGAATATCAGACCTGCAAATGTTTAAAGTGAAATAAATGATGCATTAAACAGCACATTTGAAAAATATTTACAGCAAACCCAACTTTGTGGTTTTGCACTTCTAGTACTGGAGTGAACCAGACTAAGAAAGAATGACATAACCTAAAGATGTCATAACAAGCCTCAGTCTACAATGAGTAAGACATCCTCCCCAGAATCTCACAAATACTAAATCTAAACTTGATAGAATAAAACTCTTTATTTTCCTATCAAAGTCTTTTACCATGCTCATTTATCATTTTAAAAACAATGTTTTCCTTTTTCTTGTACAATGGAAACAAAACACCCATAAGTTTCCCTTTCAATACAAGTTTTCCTAAGCTGGAAATAAAATCAGTGTAAATTTCCTATAGTGAACCGTTGAAACTGGAAGTCCAGGTCACAAAATAAAGCCAGGAGAACCAATATAAAATGTTAAAATCAATGTGGAAACCATAAAAGTATAGCAATGCTTTTAAAATAAAACTACATTACTTTTTGTAATGGTTTCTCCATTGCCCCGTTACAGGTACATAGGTAGAAAAGCCCTTTTAAGCTTTCTAATTTTATCACTCAGTTCTCCAGATGGGGAGGAGTTTCTATGGTAAATTTTAATTTTCCCATCCATTATTGTGTATAAGTACATGGGGATTCAATCAGCATTTGTTACTCCACACCATGATTTATCACACTAGATTGCAGGGAACTTTGACTGTATCCCCATGTATATACAGCACATGCAGGAGTCACCATTTGTGTTCCCTGCAGCTGTAACTATTCATCCCTTGTTGCAAGTAGACGTTATGTATCTCTAACACAAACACAACTCCTTCCTTGCATATACCCCACTGTATATGCAGCTGAGCCTTTCTGCTGCACGTACTAGATCTGCTCTCTATTCTGAATGGCATGGGGAAGTAATCCAAGTTTCTTTTCAGATTATTTCTTAACAGTAAACAGTGCTATAAACCCTGCTACCATTCACAGACCTCTCCTGCAACTGGTTCCAGCGAAAGAGAGCTGCAACAGAGCAAGAAGAACTTGACTAATGCCTATATGGTTGGACTGATTATTCCTATAATCAAACGAACCATAGTGATTCTGCTGGCTGCGAATCCTTTCTGAATAAAGTTCAATTCCTCATGGCTTGTTGGATCCATCGGGTGATACATTTAAGGCAGGTTTGTGCTCTTACTGGATTGTTTCTGGGATCGCTGTTTCTTTGGAACTTCCCCAGCAGCTGCTACAGATTTTTGGACTGGCTCCTCAGTATCCTCTTTTACCTTCTTTACCCTAGTTTTGCTTTTGACAGGGTTAGAGAACGTAAGGCAAGTTTTGCTGAATTCCAGGGGAAATATTCCCACATCTCCATCAAAGCGATTCTTGGAGACCTGTAAGTAGCGCCTGCCTGGTCCTGTCGTTAATTTCCTATCTTGCAGGATCAACACATTGTCAGCCTCCTGGCTGGCCTGCAACAGACAGACATAAAAATAACAGTATGATTAGAACAGGGCAGACAGAAAGATCAATTGACTGGATGGGTGGGTATTTGTCTAGTTCCTTGAGAAAAACTTTTACCAAGAAGGATTTACCTTTGCAGACCCAAAAATGGAAGATGTTTGCAACTCTCTTTCTTCATCTTCTTTGCGGGGATGAATGATCAGGGTTACATGGCAATTGTTGTCTGTAGCAAATTTTCGGAAAGTACCCACAATGTAGTCTTGGAGGGCAAGCCTAGGCAGCAACAAATAATATACTTTGCTGTAAAAGCTCATGAATATCTGAACAAAATGTGGTGTTTTTTTTTTGGTGAACAAATAGCACTAAATTGACAAGAGGGTACAAAGCAGATATTTTAACACTGTTTAGTACACACCCTGAAACGTTATGGCATTAAAGGCTACATCAATTTAAGTCAGAACAGGCATAATGATCCTGAGCAAATGTTTAACTATGAATAAGCAACTGGAAACAGGATCATGGGATTTGCACATGCTCTTCTCGTATCTCTCAATGCAGCTTACAAAATGTGGTGGACAGAGCAAAAGCAAAGGAACAATGTTATAAACTGATTCTATGCTAAGGCAACATGAAAGTAGAGGATTACCTGTCTACACTGAGTTGCTCCTGGCCCATCATAAACTGGAGATTATCAATGACAACATGGGTAATGTCATACATGTACACAGCATGGAGCATGGTATCAATTACTGTCCTGCATGAAAAAATTATCAAGGTTACACACATGTAGAGGTTAATTTACTCTGCCATTCCTACCTAGTTCAAATAAGGAGTTTTTAAACAGAAAAATTTCCTGCAGATTAAAACATGTCTGCAGTCTCAATTAATTTAGAGTAACAAATACATTTATAAAGTTAATGACTAAATAAGGTATCTTAAAACCCTCAGAATCCCAGGAAAAATTAATTCCATTAGTAGCAACCAGAACAAAGAATGAAGAGCTGAAGAATTTATCTGAAACATTCATTTACACATTGTAATATACAATTTGTATTCTGCAGTAAAGGAAACCACATGATATTGCATATTTAAGAAGAACCAATTGCCTTAACGTAAAATAGTGTACTCACTGTATAATTTGAGACCAATCTCAATATTTGCTAGGCAAATAGTGCTTTGTAACACACCGACCCCTCAACCTGTGCTAGAATATCTTTGGATTTTCTATCATATTGTCTTATCCAAAAGGATGACATAACGGTGGCTTAGCAAAGTAATGGGATGCAATTCCCAGACTAACATTACATAGAGCTAGTTAATTTAGTCTTACTTTGGCCTTACTACTAAATGTTACATTTTTTTCAACGATACTTATACTACTGCTTTAATACTCAACTGCTTCAAAACTCATCAAATTTGGTATTCTATAAATTTGATGCGAAAATATTGTCTAAGTACTCATTGCTTGGAACTCAACATGCTGTGATAGGAAAAGTGGGGATGGCTGTGGAGAATGGACAGAAAGTTGGCTATGCCGAGCAGTCACTGACATAGGAAAAGGGACAGCCAGAAAGTCCTTCCAGGCCGAAACAAAGGGTTGGTCACAAGGTAAGTCATGTGGTTTGCTTGGCTCTCATTTTTAGTACTGGTTGAGCCTCTGAGAACCAATTAACAATGAATACTGAGGTACCATTGTATTTCTTTCTGAATTATATCTATTTGCTGCTAATTAAATAGAACTAAGATTGCAAACTCAGCATTACATTAATTATAGCACTGTTTCACTTCTACTGACTCGTAAAAAAGCAATAATCCATGATATACAAAGTAGGAAGCTGCTACCCCAAATTTTACTTGATGTTCTGTTGTCCATAGAAGGTCATGAAATGAAGTGGAAGATCCTCAAACTTGTCTGCCCATTCATCATATTTTTCCAGTTGCTCATCCAGTTTTTCCATGGCAAATTGAGTAAGCATGATCTTGGCCAAACGCACATTATGGATCTCAAAGCTGCCCCATAATGTATTAACCCCTTGCATGCAGAGATCCAGAGCATATTCACTTATGAAAGTGGTCTTCCCACTGCCTGTTGGACCTGATTCAGAAAGACAAAGGCACAATTAGTAAGAAAGGCAGTTTGATCCAAATTATGTAGAATCTGGTTTCACCGGGAACAAACTGACACGCCCTTTCCTTTTATGGGAAGCTACATTGGCTACTCCGCAGGTTCTCTGTGGATAAGAAATGCAAATAGGGAACTATGTCACAACACAATATTTTCCCCATTGATTGTAACATTCCACTCACCCATTACAATAGTACTTCTAGAATGGTTTGACCACTATTTAGTAATGTAATAAAAATCATGCTTGGAATAGTATATCAAATCTCCCACAGACACTTCTGCATACTGCAGTGCATACGGCATCATAGAATTGCAGTAAGTCAGAATTCCATTTACTTTCATCTTCCCTTTTGCCAGAATTGGAAACATGCACAATTTAACTTAATAGCAGCACAGAAAATAAGTTAAATTTATTTTAGAACTCTCCAATGTCTCTTTCTTTTTCTTTCTAATGATCATTACTTCTATTAAGTAAATTGTCCTTCTCCAGACAAAAATATCATATGGAAGCAGAAAATCATGGGAAGCTTGTGGGAAACTGGTTTTCAAATCATAAGCTATACGACAAGTAAGCCAAAATCTGACAAACAGCTGAAGAAAATTGCAGCAAATATTTTAATGATTACATATGCTGATGAAGGATGAAAGGGAAACCACAATATATTGCTGCCTTGACTTATTTATAAAAATAATAAAAGCAGGATATACATAAATGTTGTGGCTCCGATTCCTGAGCCTGCGGAAGAGGACTTGGAAGATGAGGACTCGGAGGAATTGGGAATGCCTTCCTCCCCAGGACCTTCCTCTTCGGCAATTCCTTCCTCCCTGATAATACTTCAGGTTTCAGCAGATAACCAAGAGGGACAGGAGGACCAATCAGGAGGAGGAGAGCATATCAGAACAGCCTCTGACAGGGAATCAAGTAGATGAAGGTTGGCTTGATCCGAGGCAGCGTCGCAGGAAGAAGTGTGAGCTGCAACGCAGGAGGCGTGGGCGAATCAGAGTGTGAGATGAGTTATTGAGACACACCCCACAGGGGATAAAAGTGGGTGTGTTTTCTCTGAAAACTCTGTATGGGACAAAGTGTTACTTTCTGACATGCTCCGGTGTGTTTTGTGGTCTGCGTTGGAAACTTTAGTGATTAATCATTCTGGTTATCTTGTCAGACTTGGCAGGAAGCATTGGTTATAATGCCAAGAACATTGTCTATATAAAGGAATTAACCCTGTAAATACTGAATCTTCTTGCCTGCCTATATTTGTCGGATTTTGGGACTCTTCATCTTGCTTGGAAAGGTGAGGCAGAACACATAAATGTATAAGTAAATAAAATATATACTCACCTGTGAAAACAGTGAGCTCTCCTTTGCGGTGGCCTTTGAGAAGTTTGCTCAGTTCTGGGAAACGAGCCCATTTGACTCCAGCCACCTGATCTACATTGACCAATTCCCCATACACCTCTTCCCGCAGTTGACAAAAGGAAATTATAGATTTGTGACCAGCTGGCAGAGCTGAGCGTAGAATCTTGGTAAGGTTCATACCACTGCTAAACGCTTCTAAAGGTCGGAGCTGTTGATCACTTGGTCGCACCAAGTAACAACGCTTAGGATTCAGCTTACGTGCAAAATGTTTAGCAGATTCCCAGGACCGGAGATCCTCTCCTAACCATAAAGTGATCCTTTTGAACTGTTCTAAGTAGGGAAGTAAGGCTGGGGGAAGGCAAGAAATCCCACGAGGCAGTGCCAAGGTGGGTAAACCAGTCACCTGATGCAACACCAGAGCATCCAACTCTCGGCCAGTCAACACCACTTCTGTATCACGCCGACTGATCAGAGGCAAACCAAAGAGATTGTGATAGGCATTGGGACGAGGCAACATATTCTCCACATGGTGTACTCTGTCCCCTTGGTGCTCAACTCGGAGGAGCTTCAAGCCCTTCAAGCTGGTGCCAGAAGGACTGAACCATGGGAAGACCAATGCTTGACCAGTCCGAAGAAAACGCACCCCAAAATGTTTGAGAGTGGTATTCGACACGCTGGAAATGCCAAACCTAGCCTTGACGTCTTTGGTCTCCTGCTCATCCAGCAATTGCCAGAGAGGCAAGGCTCGGTCCCATATGTGCTTGGCGTCCTCCCCAGTTTGGTTGTTTTGCTCATTAATACTGTGCCTGTCGCTTAACGTTAGTCCTTTATCCTGCAGCTCTACGTTGGCCTGGAAATCTTGCCAATTACCTTCGACCAGCGTGGCCGTGCAGATGAACTGGCCCGTCGTCTTATCAATAAAGAGGCTGTAAGTATGCCGGAGCTGCTGTTTATCCGCCACAAAAATACTGGGCACGTGAATGCAACTGTAGCCATCGTGAAAGGGGATTTTCTGCATTTTGAGGTACTGCCGGATCTCTGTGACGGAGGCCGGAGGAATCGGCTCCTGCACCGGTGGAAGCTTTTCCTGTTTGTAGTGCTTACAAGGAGAGCTCCCAACGAGCATCCATCTACCTGGAAGGCGCCGGGGACGCCAAAGGAGCCGCGACGTCACCGAGAACATTGTTGTCTACCTCCTCTCAGCAACCTCACAGGCTCTACGACCCTGCAGTAACGTTTCCTAAACTGGCCCGCGGGGAAGCACCTCTTCTTCTCCTCCCGAAGAAAAGCTCCCCCCGCCCCCTGCCTTTCCTACACTGCAAGACCCTCCCATGCCGCTGCCCTCCTCCTTCCAGCTTGCGGGGGAGCTGCACCCCCCATCCCGATTCCCGCCGCCCTCCGACCGAGGCTGCCTACAAAACCTCCCCTCCGGCCGCAACCTGACCGCACAGCTCGGCTCCCGCCTCTGGCTCCGGATCAGGGCATCGGCTCCCCACGTGCAGCAGTTGCATAAAGCGCGCCACGACCTTCCTTCAAAACCATCACTTCCGAGGCGGCTGCGCGAGAGGAACCAACCCGGATACAAACACCGGCCTGGCGGAACACACGGACTTCCCCCCATAGAGATAAATAACAAGAAAACGAAGCTTTCGGGCCCACAAGGCAGAAATTCGAGGGCGGCAGCCACGTGGGGAAGCTGTTGGTATCTGGCCATTTTTGCAGCTTTACGAAGACCGTCGTAACCTAACCTCAACCGTACATCCCAGCCCTTCCTGGAGATTTCTGTTGGTTGCATCACGCAAACTGGGTCTACGTTGCAATTTTTAAACAGATGCTGGCGCCCCAGTGGTTTGCCCCCTCCTCTCTTGCGAAGATAAACCGGAGGCAACTCCCGCGACGGAAAAGCCTGGAGTTTCTCTACGTTTCTTGCGAGTCACAGAAAAAGTGGGAGGGGGGCTTTAAAAGCAAAAGCATTCCACGGGCAGAGAGAGAGTGCACGCTAGAGCGGCGTCGACCCCTTGTTGCTGCCTGCTTCACTTCCGGTTCCGAGTTCCGGTGCGGGTCGCGTTGCCAACGACGATGACCGGCCGGGGGACCCCGAGCCGCTTCTTGGCCAGCGTCCTGCGGAACGGCGTAGGCCGCTACGTGTGTCAGCTGCAGCGCATCACCCTGACGGTCAGCCAGCACATGCCCAACTCGCTGGGCGCCAGGTGGGGAGACAGAGGCGTTGCAGCGGGCGGGCCCGTGTCTCTGCAGGTTTCGGGACCGTCCGAATTCATTGTTAAGCAGCGCAGGTGTTAAAAGCGAGACAAGGCAGATGATCAGGGGGCTCATATGAACAACGGTTGCAGGACTTGGGTATGTCTAAATCTAGTGAAAAGAAGGACTACGGGTGATAAGAGAGCAAGCACTGCTCCAATGTTTGAGCGGTTGCCACAAAGAAGGAGGGGCCCGATCTGTTCTTCACAGCAACAGAAGGCAGAACAAGAAGCAATGGGTCAGGGGTCCCCAAACCTGGCAACTTGAAGACTTGTGGACTTCAACTCCCAGAATTCCTCAACCAGCTCTGCTGGCTGAGGAATTCTGGGAGTTGAAGTCCACAAGTCTTCAAGATGCCAAGTTTGGAGACCTCTGCAATGGATGGAAACTGTCCAAGGAGAAAAGCAACCTAGAACTTAAGGAGAATTTTTCCTGACAGAACAACTTCAATCAGTGGAACAACTTGCCTCCAGAAGTTGTGGGTGCTTCCTCACTGAAGGTTTTTAAGAAGAGATGAGACCACCATTTGTTTGAAATGGTCTCGGGTTTCTTCCTTGAGCAGCTGGTGGGACTAGAAGACTTCCAAGGTCCCTTCCAACTCCATTATTTGCTTCTTCCTTCCTCCTTCCCGATGCTTTGACATTGACTCCTAGCTTCTTAGGAACAAGAAGGGGAAGCCTTGGCCTCCCTCCTGTGCCACAACAGCTGAGCCACGACTCCAGTTAATAGTATAAGCATTTCATATTGCAGCTCTTGCTTTTCTCCAATTTTTTTTTATTTAATGTTACCATCCAAAGTAATATCTTTGATCCCAAGGATGTATTAGAACTGGACAATATTTCTATATCCTCGACTCAATCTAAGCTATTTTCAGACAGCAATTAAAGGTACTTTCTGTAAAAGCAGAATTGAACAATTGTGGTTAAAATTCACAAATAAAGGCTAGACAGTCTAATATCCAGTAGATTATTTGCCCTGTTAAGTCTGTATGGGTTTGTGGAATGCTTACTCCCAACATAGGCACCCGGTACATGTTTTTTAACAAAATGAAGATATTTATATAATTTGGTTCATTTCCATGAGTTGTATAATATCACTGGCATCGAATGCAAAACATTTGGAAATGCCTACCTCCACCTATTTTGGAAAAGAAGTGCTGGGCTCGGTGGACTTTTGTCCTAAGAGGGTTCTTCAATCAAAATAATTTTATAGAAAAGTTCCATGTCCAAGTAGACTTCATTGATTCAGCAATGTAATCCCTCACTTGATTTAAGTGTATTTTTTAAACACCTCAATGCAAATATTTTTTGTAGAGAATATGTTGAAGAAAAGATAGTGGATTTTGCAAGGCAGAACCCTGGGATTGTGGTTTATGTAAACCCAAAGAAATGCAGGATCCCCACATTGGTTGCTGAATACTGTGAGTATGGAATGTAGTACTGAATAAAACCAAATAGAGAATAATCTGTTTTTTTAAACTGCCATTAACCAAGAAATCTGCTCCTAAGACTGAAAAGTCTTTTAGGAAATGTACTTAGCTGTCTCTTAAAACATAGTCAGGATGGTTTTCTTATTTAGCCAGATCACAGTTGGTGTGATCTAATTGTTTTAGTGAAAATTTGAGTGTTATGTTAAGCCAGTGTGGACAGAAAGATTATAAATATGGAAAACAAAATGAATCAATCATGAGTGTCCTTTTAACAAGGTTATATAAGCACAGGGACCTTCATTTTCTTGCAAAACAGCAGTCAAACTTGCTGTCTCTCTATAACTAACTAACCTATCTATAACTATCCCCAATGTGAGTTTCCAGATGTATTGAGGTTGGAACTCCCAGTATTCTAAGACAGCAGATATTTTGACTCTGCAAGGAAGCAATATTGTGAGTTGTATTCTCACTGTCTGTGAAGAGCGTCCTGATAGAATAAGTAGAAATGTCTGTATCTTCATTGGAAATCCTGAACAAGCTAGTTTGCTTCATTAAAATGTAAAATTACAGAGATTGAGGAATTTGAAACCCCAGCTAATCCAGACAAATGTGACTTCTAAGATGGAACAAGTTTTAAACATTTTTTCTTTCTAGTGAATGGAAATGTGAAGGAGGAGCCGTTAACCAGCAAGACTGCAGAAGAGATTGCAGATATTGTCCAAAAAATGGCCAACCAGTCTGGCCTAGAAATCATTCGTATCCGAAAACCTTTCCACACAGATAACCCCAGTATCCAAGGCCAGTGGCATCCTTTCACAAATAAGCCCAGCGTGCTCAATGTGCAAACCATAGGAGCCAGACTCCAGTCATTGGAAAAATAAAGCTATGCTATATGGCCTGTGACATTTATGAATGTGATATCTCTTGCACACAGGAAATATTTGCTACCTACGAAAGTGGGTACTGACTTGTGGGAAAGTGGGAAATGACTGACTTGTGGTTGCGAACTCTACTATTGGGTGGTTCTAGGCCTGTCTGGTTATGCCAGTAGCCTTCTTCCCATTGTACTTTGCAGTCTAATTCTTACTGAAAATAAAGGATGAAACTTAATTTACTCTGGCTCATCATTTCTTTAGACCAGACATGGGAAGCTTGCAGTCTTTCCTCCCTACATAAATTTTAAAACAATTAGTTTTAAAATACAGTGAAGCTTATTGTGAAGGGTTCGTGGTTCTAAAGAAGGAAATCATCCTGTTTTGAACACACTTTTCCTGGTTTCTTAGGTTGAAGCATGTCTTTTTATTAACTCCAGTTAACAGACCAACTGTGTCCTTTCCTGAAGAAAGTGACTGTAGTGTAAACACCATTAACTCCTAGGCTTGGTTTATGTAACACACTATACACGGGGCTGTCTTTTTGCATGGTTTAGAAAATAGTATCCAAAGCCTGGAAAGTCTAAAAAGATTCAAGGAATATTTGGGCTAAAAATTTTGCACTACCAATTTGTTTCCAGGTGAAATACACAGTGCTGCTTAGTAATTTTAAAACCAAATATAATTTGGACTAGGCTATTTGAAAGAAGGCTTGTGCAAAACATTTTGTACAGAAGCCTAAATAGACTTCACATGGGAAGAGGAGGGGTCATTGTGAGATGCAGTACATTTATATATGTATATCCCTTTTATATTTTTAGAAATAACTAAATGTTGTGATTGGAAGGATCGGTCCTGTTGGGAGTTTTGACTCTGATGACTGTTAGATCGTGGATTGATGTCAGAACCAGGAAACGTTAATCTGAAGGGCAAGCCAGTTAATTAGCACGTTGCCTTAATGGGTATAAAAGGACACAGCTGAGCTGGTGCCTTTCGCCAGAAACAAAATGACTATTTGAGTGAGGACGTTACAGCAAAGAGCTCTGAGGTTGAGGATTTATTGCCAGGACTGGTTTGCCGGACAGAGTAAAGATTTATGCTGTGGTTTCTGCCAGCCGTTATCTTGTAAGACTTCTTTCCGTTTGATTTAATTGTGAAACGGCTGCTTTATGTTTGTTCGTTTGAATTTCCAAGAGGAGACATAACAACTAAAGGTGATGAACATAACTAACATTCCTCCTCCCTTTTTCCTCCACACCACCCTGTGAAGTGGGTTGGGCTGAGTGATTGGCCCAGTCGCTCAACTGGCTTTCAGGGCTAAAGTGCAACTGAACTTGCACATTTGTGAGGGTTCAATATATATTTGCTTCAATATACTATATATCTTGTTGCAATTTATCTCCAATTTGAGTATAATAATCAGTTGGTGAAACAAATTTGCATTATATGTTGGCCTCAATTTATTCAGATTATATAGTGAATTTTCAATAGAAAAATTTTCCTTTAAGAAATTCCTCATTTTCAATATGTTTGCTAAGGAAAATATTAGAATGGGGTTTATGTTGGTCTATTTTTTTTTCTTAAAGGCTATCATATTATCAAATCTAAGCAGTTAAAACATTTTTATTAAAAAGTTTGAAAAATATCAGTGTAATTACAGAAACATGAAATGTACAGACTCATGTTTAATACATCTTCTAAGATGCCAGGTAACCCGTCATTTCTCTACCAGATCAAGTGATGGTCTGCTGTTGGCCCCAAATTATTGTGGCAAGCAGGATTGTGAATAATTCCAAAAGGATTTCTTGAAATGCTTATTGAGTAAATGCAGATTTCCCCCACCTCACCCCTTTTTATAAGGGGACAAAAAAATCCTCACTATCCACAGAGAACCTGAATAGATTATGGGTTGGAGAGAGGTGAACTTAAGGCTGCAGATAGAAGAATGAAAAAGTAATGAGGGTGTAGTGTGTATTAAAGTCATCAAAATACCAAAATGCTTACATAAATCTATGGCACAGTACCTTAAAATGCAATACAGAGCTGTGTGGGCTTATTTTGAAAGAATTATTGTCCGTTTGACAATATTTTTGAAGTTCTTGAAGAGAATTCAGAAGTCCGCTCATACAAGAAAGGAAGAAAGAAGAAAGGAGGTTTTTGTTTTTGTTTTTTTGTAAAAGAAAGATAGCAATACTTCCTGGTTAAGTTGCAGGATGGTGAAATATTCATTGCAGCTGCAACAGAAGTGAAAATATTTTGAAGCTTGCCATTTCTCCAACATGGAAACTACACTAAAAAA